GTAGGCTATATTATACCCAATTGTACTTTTTAAAGAATGACACTGGGTTTGCGTAATACCCTGCTCTTCATGAAGATGTGCATTTCATTTCTGTTTATCCCATTTAAACCTCGCCTCATGAAATACTGAAACGATACTTTTTTGCGAATAATAGGCTATTTTCATAGCTGTTAAGAGTTTAACAATTATTCGTGACTGTTAGGTTAAGTCACCTAACAGTGCTTCTATGCTAATTCTGAAAATGGCGCAAAATGCCTATGTGGAAGCCACAGTTTTGACTGTTAGGTTAAGTCACCTATCAGTGCTTCTATGCTAATTCTGAAAATAGCGCAAAATGCCTATGTGGAAGCCACAGTTTTGAGAGAATGCAAAGCGTTTGTGGTCTAATTCTTAAATATTTAAAAACTTATTCCAATACTGCATTATCTGAGTTCACACAAATTTTCATGATGTTAAAGTTATATTCGTTAGAAACTATTATCTACTTAACATCGAACATGAATGCTAATAACAGTTTTTTTTTTTTTATAAACTTAACTTTTGATAAAGGCATTTTTTAAACCATACATAACTGTAAAGATTCAAAAAAATTAAATCATATTGAGTAGTTAGGTATAATTTAATTCCTGAAAGCAGAATTTTGCATTTAAAATTTGGATAGGGGGACACGCCATTTCAGGGTGTTAATCATTCATTTGGAATGTAAAAAGTTCGTTTAGTTTTCAAAACTCTTTTAATTGGGTATAATATGAAAAAAACACAACTACTTCGATTTAGTAGGAACAACATATGACGCAATGCTAAACGAATGGAATTTAGTTGCTGTTTATTTAGTTATTGTTATTAGTAGTTGTTGTTATTTGTTTTAGTTGTTGTTGTTTATTTAGTTTCAATAACTTTTCTTTATAATGCAATAAAATCTGGCGAGCAGCTATTTAAACGATCGAACACTTCGCTTGTTTATTTGTGGCTTGAAGTTAGGCTCGCAGAAAATGCCGTTCATGGGTTAAATTTAGTAGGAACAACACAACCTGTGACGTAGGCTATATTATACCCAATTGTTCTTCATTTGTGACTCCAAAACGTGATAAAGCATATGATAAAAGATCTTTTTAACCGAGAGATAAATTAGATTTTATCACTAATCGTACACTTCTGAATATATTACAAATAAAAATAATTTTGCAAAATAATAACAATATGTAATAAAAAAATATTACCTTTAGCCAGCGTTCTCAATGTCAATTCTGAAAATGGCGCGAAACGTCAAAATGAAAAGAGCCACAGTTTTGCGAAAATAAAAAGCTCTCGAGATCAATTCTTTAATATTTTAAAATTTACTAAAAAGCTGCATTATCTGGACTCGTAGAAATTTGCGAATTTTTTTCCAGGTGGAAAAATCTCGCCAATCGGCGATTTTTTAAAAAACTTATTAAAGAATGATCTGACCCTTAGAACGGAAATATTTGAGATATTTTCCGTTCTAAGGGTCAGATCATTCTTTATGGCTGGTTGGTATACTTTAAAATTAAAGTTTTGCTTCAAATGTAAATGTAGCGACTTTTTAGAAAATACTTAATACATTTTTAAATATTTAAACAAAAATATCCGTTTATAAGTCGAGATAATTAAGGCCTAACTAAGGCCTGATATTAAAAATTATAAATAGTATAAAATTAAAGTTTTGCTTCAAGTGTAAATTTAACGACTTTTTAAAAAAATGGTTAATAAATTTTTAAATATTTTTTTTAAAATTCTTTGCACCTAGATCTGTTATTAAAGTTAAAAAAAATAGTCTCAAATTAAAGTTTTGTTTCAAGTGAAAATTTAGTGACTTTTGAAAAATGATTAATAAATTTTCAAATATTTTGAGTTTTGTTTAGAGATTAAAGCACTCAAACTGTGCCGTTTTATTTTCCTTTTTAACATTTTTAAAAGAAATTCATATGATATTTGTAAGTTTTAAGCACTCTAATACATTCAAGACTTCAATTTTTTACATTATTTCACAGGAAACAATTGATACAAAAGAGAAGGAATCTAACGTAAGTCTACCATTCTTACCTGGAACCCCAACACCTGATGTCCTTACAAAATCCAACACTGTCGAAAATCGTCAGCATAGTCCTGTACGGTTCCCTACCCTTTTCATACCCGCACAAGATAAGGTAATTTTTTTTCTTCACAATATTATTTTTGTAAGTTATTTTTACGAGTGTTCTAAAATGACGAAAAATTTGGAAAGTCAATTAAAGAAAAATGGAAGAAGATAATATAAATGATCTTGCTGAGAAAAACTTTAAAAATAACCACCGTAATCATATATCAAAATGGCCGTGCACATGTTTAAACTGGAATGGACTTTATATTCGTCGTTGAACAGCCGATCCAATTTTTGGGTTTACGACTACTAATGTTCAACTACGTAGCCTTGTAATTTTGAGCCCAATACAGAAGACAAGGGAACTCCTGGACCAAGTATTGGGATAAATGTTGCCTTCGTGGAGGACTTTTTGATGGAATTAACCCTCATTTGCTGTACATGAAGAGGAAAACCACGAAAACCTCCCACGATTAGCCTGACGGGAAGGGAAATCTAACCCACGATCCGTCTACCACTGAGGATATTTCACGTCAGCACTGTAGTTGGTGCAAGCCGGAAGCAAGCGAAATTCGTATCAACCAGCCATTGCTAGGATTCGCACCCGGTTCACCTCATTGGAAGGTGCTCGCTCTATCCCCTAAGCTCTGAAATGGTTTTTGCACTTGCTTCAGCAGTACATATACTGAAATAAATGCATAATTGGAACAGTCTGAAACCGCGATAGGTCAGAGGCGCTTCCCCTTCCAATGACGTGCGGGTTCGAATTCCAGCGATGACCACTGGTCGTTACGAATTCTGTTCCCGGCTCGCACCAACCACAGTGCTATCGTTAACAATCCTCAGAGTGGTAGACGGATCACGGGTTAGATTCTCCTCGCAGTTGAGCTAAACATTGGCCGTTTTCGTGGTTTCCCTCTCCACGTAAGGCAAATGCAGGTTAGTTCCACCAAAATGTTCTCCACGAAGGTTTATTGTGCCAATACTTGATCGAGAAGTTCCTTTGTCTTTTAAATTGGGTAAAGAACTACAATGCTGCAGAGTTAAACATTGATAATCGTAAATGCAAAATTTGAATAGTTTGACATACAACAGAAAACACTGTTTGATAACTTTTCAGAAAATAGCTTCATTTGAATAAGATTGGTTTCCTAGGCAAAACGCAGCAAACCGTATATCTGTTTTTATCTTCTTCCGCCTTTCTTTATATCATCGGTTATTTTCGGGAAACCCAGGGAAATTGAGCCATTAATTTTATATTAAAGTACATCATTCATTTATTACATTAATCGACTAATAGCAAATTCTAAAATTTTAATTTTATTTCCGAATCGTTTCACTTATTCACAAATAGAGATGGTCAATGTATCGTGAAACGGCAATTATTTCTACTATCGAAATAGGTATATTTCAAAATGCATTGCCATATAATCCACGCGTTACGATAAATATCGAATGTACTAAAATTATCAACGACGATAAATATAGAATACAATAATATCGCTATTATTATCAAGAATGGTAATTTACAGTATACCTTATCATCATGAATAATAAATTTCCCCTGGGTAACGATGTAAAAATAATGTAAATTTATTAAAGGTGAGAAAATATTGGAGTATACCGTGAAATATTGACATTCTTAACGATATATCACGATTTTAAAATTCTATCATCATTCAGTCCAGTTTTATTCACCATACGTTACATTTTTTTTATGCAATCGCTTTTTCTTCCTTAAATCAATCATTTTTTGCTCAACGTTGGAATACTATTAATATAATAGCAATAATATTATTTGCTTGTTTTGCAAATTATTTTTTTCCTACGTTATGTATACTGCTAATATCAAAATTTAATACTATTTAAGAACTATTAAATTTACAGTATTATATTTCTAGTCGTTTGCAAATAAAGAAAAATTAGGGAACAATCTAAAAACGATCGTTTCGTTGAGATGTTGATAACAGTCTTGTCGGAACAAAAAGTTATTTAAACATAAATGTAGAAAAAAGTATACCTGAAACCAAAATACATGATTATCAATTCACAATAAAAATTGAGTGATGACATACGTTTCGCATTGCTTTTTTTCTTTCCTGAAAATTTTTTTTTTAGTTTCCCAGAATAAACAATTCTTTTGAGACCTGTAGAACGAAACTTCAAATTTAATTTTCACATTACTATAACTTGAGTTCAAATTTACATAGAAAGGCAATGAAAACGATAAATGCGTGAAACTCATCCGTTTCAGCTTAGATGTTTTCTAGATGGTTGCCATAACAGCAGTAATTAAAAGTCATTTTTACTGTTTAAAATTCAACAACAACAAAATGTGAAAGTCTCCGAAACTTTAAAATAGGAAGGAAACGGTTTTTGAATCAAACTAAAACGTAAATTTAAAAAATAAATAAATAGCTATTTAAAAAATTTTTTAAAATTTGTTTAAAGTAAAGCAGAATTGCTAAAATTTTAATGACTGTAAAATGGCAAACGTTTTACGATGTAATGAAAACATATTAATACTATATTTATGTGAAATATAAATATTTTTATTTCATTTCCAGGTTTCGCGGCCTAGATCGACAGTAGCTGCTGGAATACTTTTTCTGCCATCAATTTTGTAAAAAAACGAATAGCATCACTACGAATTATAAACGTTTGTTGATTGGAAATAAATTTATCATTTTCATCGAATTAATTTTGAGTATAGACTGAAAAACACAGTTTCAAACATAGTTTTCATTTTCTAAGGCATTTTTTCACAAGAGAATTTTTAAAAAAAAGGGCTTGGGGCAAATATTTATAAACTTCCTTTGCAAATTGTTCACATAATTTATTTTTTTTCGAAAATAGAAAAAAAGTGAAGCGTAAGATGTTTATGTGCATTGAGCTGTGAGAATTCGAGTGGAAATTCCCAAAAATTGTAGTTGCTATCTGTAACTACACAAAAGAATAGTTTGATGTTAAAAAATGATATTTAAAAAAAAATGCCATTTATTATTTATAAGACAAAATTAACGGTCGTCACAGAGTGAATAAATTGTTGATTAAATTTTTTTTCCTAATTGCCACTTTTTTCGTCGAAAATGTACCCATGTGCATTTTATTATGATTATTCTTTAATAAATATCGAATAATAATGATTATTTATTATGTTCTGAAAACTACTGAAAATATCACGCTGATTTCTCGAATTTTTGTCTTCATTTTATAAAAAAACCTTCTAACGTTTACCATATTTTGAGAAATGACATTATTAGCATCAACTTTTTTAATCGTTAAACATTTTCAAAAACGAAGAGACATTTTTAAATAGTAGTCCCTTTTAAAAATGATACAACTAGCCACTGACCACAATATCAACATTTATCAATATTTGAATACTTATTATTAATTGCTCCAACCTCAAGCACTTAATAGAAAATTCAATTTTTTCAATCGGTTTCTTATTAGCACTTTAAATCGATTTCATTTATAATACGGCTCAGCTTTTTTGTTTCTTTCTAATAAAATTGAAAACAGTACCATAATCTCTCAACAATTATTTGAATTGTGGTATTTAAAATGAATTCTGCAACAAAAATAAGAATGTGTTCGATAGTAATAACCTGTGGCAAGAGATGAACAATTTCACAATATTCAATCGACTTTCTCTGATATTTTAGACGAGTTTTCAGAATAAAATTTTGACAGGCAAGCAGTTTCAGAAGAAAATCATATGATCTTTCTGGCTGTCTTTCAAAACGATCCACCCCTCTTCTCTGGTTCCTGTTTTTAGAAAGTCGCCTGCCTTTTTGGAATTGGAATAGATCATTTATTCTTTTTCTTTCTCAAAAAGGAACTCAACATTTGGAACAAACTATGATAGAAGATTTATGTCATAACTATGAAATTATATTTTAAAATAGGCTTAAATATAATGAGTTGAATAAGAACGTATAAGTGAGGATATTTGTAGTTATAAGAAAGATAAAATTTTGCCATGGGCAACCAGTAAATGTTATACTTTTTTATTTAGCCTGTAGAAAATATGCGATTTAAAAAAAAAAAAATCACACGGATAAAAATAGCAATATAAGAAAAAAAAAATACTACTAATTGCAGCGATTTTGATGTGAAATCAACAATTAAGCATAAAAATTTAATCAATAAGTTTTCAATAATTGTGTTTCGTCAGACTTATGAAGTTAATGCTTTTTCATGATTTGCGATCTCTTTCCTTTCAGAATTTTTTTAAGATTCTAAAACTATATAAAGGCCGGTGATTGAGGAATACCCTCTAATTTCGGATGAAAATTAAAAGTTAGAAATAAAAATAAGGATATTAAAAGTTTAGAACCAAAATAATTAAATTATAAGTTAAATTTCAAAAACAATAAAATTAAAAATCGAAGTAATCAGGATTGCGATCATTATAATTGCAAAAGAAATCTAACTTAGAAATTATTTTAAGTCATATGTTATTTACATTTAATTTTTCTAAATTTATTTGTGTATAAAATAAATTATCTGCTTATTTTTACTGTGCATCAAAAATATATTTGTTGTAGATTTATTTTACACTAATAGTACTTTTAAATATTTCTAAATGATATAAATTTTGATATTGAATCAAATAATTCAGTATGCATTGTGGCATGGATATTTAATGCTAATGTTGGATAATTAATTTTTGATGTCCACTTTAGAAAATAAATAAAGAGAATTTGTAAAAATGTATTATCATTTTCATTCTTTGAATTTTGTTTATTCTCGATAAACCATTTTGTAATAAATTTAGCATAAAAAAATATTTTACATTACGAGAACAAAACCGAAATATTTAGGAAATTATAAATTCGTTATTACTTTTATTCATATCGGTTCATATAAAAAAAAAAAATTGCAAAAGATATCCGAGAGCGCCATCTTATGATGATTTTTTAAACTGATTTAGAGCTTCTCTTCTTTTTCGGTACTCCAATTTTTTAAATTGATTTGAAATTATTGCTGATTTCATTCATAATTAAATTATTGTTTTTATTCATGTTTTTTTTATTGATTTCGATTATATTTAAAAGAAAGTTACCGAATTTCAGAGAGCCATAATTAAGAATTTGTTAAATCATTTGAAATTACCGCACCAAAATAAAGTGGAATTCCATTTAAAAAAAATACAACCAAAAAAAAAATTTTTTTTTTTTGCGAGACTGTGAAAATAGATTCAACAATTTATGAAAATACAAACAAGATTTTTCATAATCACTATTCTTATTAAACATTCATATTAAGAATCTTTGTAAGAAATGAAGAGAGAAAATATTAGGAATAAATTTGCTATTGAAAAAAAAATTAACAAAACTATATCAAACGTTGAAGAATCATTATACAAGTCGATCAGAACAATGGCTGGACTGAAATGATCACAAACCGATGTCGAATCCAACTAAAATGCATTCGCCTCTTGTTTTGATAAAAACATTTTCAGTGATTGAAAACATAACTGTTTATTCCTACATAATACTACTGATAATCAAAGTATTTCACGAGGGAAGAAAAGATAAAAAAAAAAACGCCTAGCTAGTTATTTAAGAAAAAAAGCTTAACAAGTGTCTTAGGAAATATTTATCCCAAAAACCTTAAAAATTGCAGGTCATTCTTAAATTACTTAAGAAATTAGAGGGGAGATGACCCCTTACCACATTATAAACACTTTGACTTAGTGAGTAGTCGAGTCGTAAGGTCAAGTGTTCCCAAACTGTGAACAGCGGCCTTCCAAAGAAGGATACTATTCAAAAGGATAATAAAAAAAAAAGGGGTTTCAAAGGAGTGTTTTGAGCAGGGCCTGATCTAGAAATGCAGGACCCCTGGTCGTTATTTTGAACTAAATTTATATGTTGTTTAATAATGAAGGGTTTTTAAACTATTTAAAAAACAAGTAAATTAGAATATATTAATAAATTTGAGCTTATATTTATTTTAAATTTTGCTCACTCTAATAGATAATTCTTAAGGAAAAAACACAAAAAAATAATTATTTTTAACAGGAAACGTGGGGCCCCTAGGCCTTATGATAAATCAGACACTGTAATGCAAGACTGTAAATCCAGTTTTAAGTGAGAAAGATAATAGTTTGCCTATGGCAACACTTCACATACTTTCACCATTCGCGTGAGGAGAGTCTTAGGCGAAGGATGTGAGTTAGTTTCTATAACGATTACACAGAAATATATACATATATAATTCAAAAATCTGACAAATATATGTCTGGGTGCCACATCACAATTTAAAAGTTTGGTAACATCTTACTATGATGAAATGTTTTGGAGACCACGACTCTTTACGTTTATACAAATTTAGAAATAAATAAAAATTTTTTTAATTGTAAGCTATGAGATAACATCATTAAAGATAGTCATTTAAAACTTAAACTATAGTATACTCTCGATACCTCAAAAACCATGTTACGTCCAAAAAAAAAAAGAAAAAAAAAAAAAAAAAGAAAAATAAANAAAAAAAAAAAAAAAAAAAAAAAAAAAAAAAAAAAAAAAAAAACTTCTCTTGGCATTGCATATTCACATAATGTTAATTTAAATTCCTATGTCAAAGAGTTTCTTCTCAAAATCTTGTTATGTCGGATATTTTACAAAATGGGAAATGAATTTTTTTCAAAAAAATCACAAAGCAAGTTTATTATATATCAATTATTTTCTATTTAATGCATAATTATA